ATTTCAAAAGAGTTGTCTTTTTCTTATTCAGCAGTCTAGATAGGAACCAAACCCTCTTTCCTCAATCTCACTTCATCAGACTTCTGTCCTAAAGGAGTGCTGCCCAATTTCACCCTTCTTGGAACCGATTCCAGTTGAGCTGATTTGGTACCCAGAAGCAGCAACAGAGATAATTAGGAGGCTGGAGGTTAAAACATAGGAAGAACAGTTGCAGGTATTGGGTATGTTTAGTCTACTAAAAAGGAAGACTACAGGGTGACATGATAACAGTGTTCCAATATTTGAGGGGCTGCCACAAAGAAGGAGTCAAGCTGTTTTCCGAAGCACCAGAAGACAAGACAAGAAACAATGGATGGAAACTAATCAAGGAAAGAAGCAACCTAGAACTAAGGAAAAAATTTCTAACAGTGAGACAATTAACCAGAGGAATGACTTGCCTTCAGAAGTTGTGGGAGCTCCATCAGTGGAGTCTTTTAAGAAGAGATTGGACCAACCATTTGTCTGAAATGGTATAGGGTCTCCGGCTTGAGCAGGAGGTTGGACTAGAAGACCTCTAGGGTCCCTTCCAACTCTGTTATTCTGTTAGTTCACAAAGCCCCACTGTAATTTGCTCCGACTGGCAATGGTTCTTGTTTCCTAGCCCGTGAATCTGAAAATATTGATATTTTCCCTTCTCAGAGAAAATATCTTCTCAGACATTGCATCATCTCAGGGAGCAAGTTTGGCCTAAAAGTTAAAGCACCAGGCTAGAAAGCAAGAGACCATGAATTCCAATCCTGCCTTAGCCATGAAAGCCAGCCAGCTGGGTGATCCTGAGCCAGTCACTCTCTCTCAGCCCAATTCACCTCACAGGGTTGTTGTTGTTGTGGGTAAAATGGGAGGAGGAGGAGTGTTGGGTACGTTTGTCACCTTGAGTTATTTGTAAAAATAATGAAGGTGGGATATAAACAAACAAATAATAATATTTCGGCCAGAAAATATTATTATTGCCTTAAGCATGGCTGGCTGGGGAATTCTGGGAGTTGAAGTCCACAAGTCTTAAAGTCCCCAAGTTCGGACACCCCTGGCCTAAGCAATCAACGCATATTTCCCACTGACCTCCAGGGGTCTCCAACCAAGGAGATGCACGTTTGGGTAGAAGCATACAGGTGGGACTCCTGACCATGCATACAAATCCAGAATGGCCCAAAGGGTCTCCTTGAGTACAGGACATCGGAACATGATCCTGATCAAGGGCATGCAGCTTGCCTCCAGAGGTTGTGGGTGCCCCATCACTGGAGGCTTTTAAGAAGAGGCTTAAGTGGGCAGCCCCTTGTCTGAAATGGGTAGCCTGCCAGAGCAGGGGGCTGGACTAGATGACCTCCAAGTTCCCTTCCCGCTCTATTCTGATTGACAGGTCCTTAACGGATATTACATAGGACGTCTCCCAGGGCGGGGCAAGGAGGCTGTGTGGACGAGCCCACATGAAAGCTCGACCGCGACAGAGGTTCAAGGACGGGGGAATCTTTCCTGTCCTGATTCCCGGGTGGATTCGCAGCTAATTCCCGAGTAAAAACAGTGAAGAGGAGCCCCACAGTAACGGCCCGACTCAGTTCAAACAAATAATATTTCGGCCAGAAAATACCATTATTGCCCAAGCAGTCAACACACATTTCCCACTGACCTCCAGAGGTCTGCAACCAAGGAGACAGGGGTGGCCCCACCCACCTGCCCCTGTGTTAGTTTGTCCTACATTTCCTTTGTCTGAAGCCCAGCGGATAGACGCGGCAGAGCAGATTGCCACACCTCAGCAGTTTTACTTACCGGGGCTGCAGTAGAAGGTAAGTTTTAGAGCTGTTTTCAAACGCACTGCATGTATGTGGAGAATGTGTTTGGTGCGCGCAAAGTGTACGCTCAGCGAACCGGTTGTTACACCGGTTGAATCCCACCACTGCAAGGAGGTGTATTTTGGAGGGAAGCATCCTCAGATGGGACTCCTTACCATGCATGGAGATCCAGAATGGCCCCAAGGCTCTCCTTGAGTACACCCATACTACACCTATCCTCCGCGAGCTGCACTGGTTTCCCATTGGTCTCCGAGCATGATTCAAGGTGCTGGTTATCACCTTTAAAGCCCTACGTGGCCTAGGACACCTGCGAGACCATCTTCTGCCACATACCTCCCTTAGACCAATAAGATCGCACAGGATGGGCCTTCTCGAGGTGCCTTCAGCGAGACAATGCTGGATGGCGACGCCTCGGAGTAGGACCTTCTCTGTTGCCGTT